GAATTCCTAGAATTCTGTTATATGTAACGATTAATTATATATAGGAGGTAGTTTCCTCCAAAATAAAGACATCTCAGCAATGAGCTTTAACAATCGCTAAATTATCGTTTGCGCATATAACTATACACATTTGTTTCTCCTAATTTCCCGATAAATAAACTATCTCTAATTACGAATTGGAGCCTCGTGACATAGTCTAGAGCTCTATTTGGCCCTAATAACTCGGACCAAGTCTTTCCACACCCTCTTTCCGCCTTCCACCATTAGGGTTGATAGAGTTTAGTGGTATTGTGTGTTGTTTAGATTAGTTTAGTGCCGATTGATATCCGTGTTGACCATATTTTGAGGTTCCGGATTGGTCTACACCTTTACAACGTACGTATGGTGCAAGAAATATAAAACCACAATTATAGACGATAAATTGCGAAATTAAATACTGTGATCACCAACTTATCAAATCGGCGGATTTTGCAAATTGGATCTGTTTACTAGCCTCAAATCTAATAAAAATTATTAACTCAACAGTAAAGGCCCCTTAAAATAATTTCGCAAAAAGTCAACTGATTAGTTCGTCCTACGAATTACCCCAAAATTAAGAATCTCTTAGAAAAATTAGCGTCCAACTGATTACTTTTTTTAAATAGAGATATATCGTTCATTAAATTATTTACGTAGCTAAATTTTTTTAAACTATGATTATTTGCATGAATCGATCAATTGACACAATCCGACAAATCAGTTAATACCCTTTTAATTTAGGGTTCTTCAAAAATCCGCCGGTATTTAACGTGTGATTAGATTACGTGCTACATTACAGATTATGCTTACATTAAATCTAATATTTGGGGGTGAGTCAATAGAAATCAACCAAATTTTTTATAATAAAAAATTTTAATAACTTTAAACAAAAATAACTTAACAAGATATTTCCTTTAAACTTGCACCGCTAGAGACGGGAAAAATGTGTATTTTATAATAACATGCGCATGAATGCGCATTAATGCGTACGTTATATAAAACGCGCATGATATCGCATGATATGATTTTTTTTGAATTTATATTTTCCTCCGGAAAATATCGGATATTTGCCAAAGTTTTTTTCCCGACCCTTTTCATCTTTATGTTCATTCATTTTCTTTTCGGAATTTTTCAAAACTTCTGCATTCCTATTTCTTAATTTTACCTGGCATTATACACCTTGGCTTAAATTAAATATACTTTAATTTTCCTTTATAAAATTTAGGTGGGATAAAATGCGCATGATTCCGAATCATGCGCATTAATGCGCACGATTGATGAATCATGCGCACGCATGAAACCCATCTCTACATTCTCCATCGGTGCTGAACGATATGAATATTTCGCGCTTGATACAAGCCTTGAACGAGATAATAAATTGGTGATAAAAAAAACATCACAATATTAAACTAGGCACAATAGAAAAGTAGTTAGATTCAGTGAAAATTACTAATGTTGCTTAATTTTTTTTCCAATATAGCTGCTCAACAAATTTTGCATTAATAAAAATTACGCTTATTGATCTAAAAATCTTATATGATAAGACGTAGAAAATATATAAATGATGCAAACTTTAAAAAATTTAATGTGAACAATGGTCTAATTACAGAATTTCATTCTATTCTTGAGGCATTTGCTCATTTCACGTATCAATACACTGAAGGATACTTGGTGGTTTATGACTTACAAGGCGTTTATCTCGATGATAAGTTCTTATTAACGGATCCAGCTATCATTTTTGAAACAACAAACTTAGGAAAGAGTGGAATTCAAAAATGTTTTTTGGCAAACTAAATGTAATAATATTTGTAAGAAATTAAAATTAAGCAATAGAGAGAGGAGATACAGTCAACTCTTTTTATACCGAACCCTCGAGACTGGCCAAAAAAAAAGTTCACTATAAAGAAATTACTATGATTTCTTAAGAAACTATAGCTTTTTTTTATACCGAACTATTAAGAAATTTTAAAATTTTGAGTTCATTATATCTAGAGTTCATTATAACGAGGTTCGTTATATCCAGAGTTGACTGTAACTGCTAAATATCATTATTACTTTATCATATTAGCAACCAGCCTGCATTATGCAGGCGAAAACCACCGCCAGCACTAAACCGCACAAACCCAACTGCTTACGATTATCTCTCGGCGCAATATTATTTGCTATTTCCGGGGGCATATCCCATTTCAGGTTTAATAACGCATAATTCACGACTGATATAATTGTATTCATCAAATAAAATTCAACTTCGGTATACCATTCCACTGCACACAATGCATTTCGTCAAACTGCTAATACAAATTTGGCAAATCAACATTTCACAATTTTTACAAGCATTTTTCTATTGTGTTAACTATCATGTTAACTAGTGTGTTAATGTTATTGTAATAGATATCAGCAGGTGTTTAAAAAAGCAAGGAATAGTAATCAGCTCTTTTGAACAATGATCTTATTTTATTAATAGAAAGGTATAACGGAGAAAAAAGTACGATAAAGTTAGACTAATAATTTTATGAGGTACACAAATACAGAAGTGTTACATTGGATACGAAGATGTTACATGCGATATTTCTGGCATGCATTCACACCTATGCTTCGCGTATGAACATCATTTAATTTGCTATATAACTATGAAATTTTCCATTCCTGATATATACACGGCACAATATAAAAAAAAAAGAAGAAAAAAAGCATTTATATACATATAAACAACTTTATAACAAACCTAGCAACGAGTTGCCAAATACTTAAATCTAGTTTAGTGTATAAAGGAATTTTTACTGCTGCATCCGCAATTTCAAATTATTGTCTGCTGTATAACATCTAAGTGATTTGCACTATTCCATTCTTGGTATTTTGTTAACAGGTTTTTTCATATAACGATAATTAACTACCGCAATAGAACAGATCATGAATCACAATGTCCAGATACAGAAGAAAGTGCTACACATGCCCTGCAAAGGTACAATGTGTGAAATCTTGATATGCATTCACATCTTTGCTTCGCCATATGCATTTGCTCAATAAGGAGCACATTTAATTTGTATTCACATCTTTGCTTCGCCATATTCATTTGCTCAATAAGGAGCACATTTAATTTGCATTATGGTATTTCTACTTTTGATGTGGCTATGTTGCGCAGCTGCCTAATTTATTAACCCTTGTTTACTCATTGCTTTTACTAAATATGTACGTATTCGTACAGTACGTACGTCCATGATCACGACTCGAATCGAAACTCTCGATTATATAAAGGACCTCTTTGAAACTCTTTATCTTGTAATAGAATTTACATACATAAAAAGTTAATTATTCAACATCGTAAATTCACATACCGGTGTTTAAAAATCAGATTGCAAGAATTATGGATGTTGATCGAGTTTTGTTAAAAAGGAAATGGTCGTTAATATTCAAATTATGCCTTAAAGAATTGACAAATGAACAGCTATTGGAACATTTATCAAATGATTTCACTTATTTTATTGAAGGATTGAAAGATTATAATGATTTGTTTTTAGTAAAAAAATGTCGAAATAAAGAAAGTGAATGAGGTATGGGACGAGACCATTAATTTGTTGAACGGAGAGCCATTTTCAACAAGATATCAAATAATTGAATTTATTATTCGGGCTATATATGACGCTAGCTTTCTCAATAAAGACGAGATTATCTATTTACTTGAACGATTACAAAATGCTGAAAACAATGTATTAACTAAAAATCTCAACATATGTAAAATAGATTTCACGTGGAATATTATTATTGAAAAGTTTTGCGAAGAAATATTTTCGACTGATCAGCAAGTTTTGGAATTTTTCGAACAATTTACAAACGGAATAACTTGTCTTAACTATGCTGAAAATGTATTTTTTCTTGCAAGACTTCAGAATGTATTTACTATATGCTCGATAAGGAAATTTCTAACACTGCAGCAAGCATTTTTAGATCAATCGATTTATATTTATAATGAAAAACTTGATAAAGGAAAAATAGATTTCATATGGAATATTGTTTGTAAAATGTTAATTAAAAGAATCTTTTATCTATTGAACAAGTTTCAGAATTTTTAAGCAAATTTGCAAATGGAATTGTTAATCTTAGTAAAGTTGAAAATGCCTTTTTTCTTGCACGGCTTAAAATTTCAATCATTTTATGTGTAAACTTTCAATCACTCACACTGCATCAAGATGTATTATTTTTAAGTCAGCTGATTTTCAATGATAAAACATTAAAAGATGAAGAAAAGATATATTTGCATAATTATCTTCAAAACGATTATAGAAATGATATTAAACATTCAATTTTTAGTAATATAGAAGAAGCTAAGAACCATCTTTTAAAACATTTAAACATTAGATTATTTAATGTAATCAATAAATCAAATTATTTAAATATAGGAGATATGCCTTTTATGTCTCTCCTATCCCAAAAAACTTCCACAGACGGGAAATCTTGATGAAATACAACAATTCGTCAGTAAACATTTTTATGGGATTGGAGATAAAGAAAATGAACATAGGAAATTCATTAATTATCAAAAACTTGCTGATATGGGTGATGTGAATGGGATATACTACCTTGCTGGTTGTTATCGGGAAGGAGTCGGAGTTAAAAAGGATGTAAAGAAAGCGCTTGAATATTATCAAAAAGCTGCCGAAATGGGAGATACTTCCAGTATGGCTGTTCTTGGTGTTTTTTATGAAAACGGAATTGGTGTTGAAAAAGATGAACATAAAGCGTTTGTTTATTATCAAAAATCTGCTACAACGGGAATTGGATCTCCTAGCGGATTATATTTTCTCGCTCAACGTTACGAAATGGGGATCGGTGTTGAAAAGGATCATCATAAGGCATTTACCTATTATCAGAAGTCTGCCAAAATGGGAAATATCTTTGGAATGCTTCATGTTGGCAAATGTTATTTTTACGGAATTGGTGTTAAAAGCGATGAGCATCTCGCATTCATCCATATGCAAAAATCTGCTGAGATGGGAAATTCTCAGGCAATGTATGAAACCGGAAAATTCTACATGTTAGGAACGGGTGGTGTTGAAAAGGATGAAAATAAAGGGTTTACCCTTTTTCAAAAATCTGCTAATATGGGAAATGCTATTGGTGTGTGTCATCTTGCTTTGTGTTATCGAGATGGAACTGGTATTGAAAAGGATGAACATAAAGCGTTTACTCTTTTTCAAAAATCTGCTGAGATGGGAAATTCTGATGCAATTAATTTAGTTGCACGATGCTACGAACGTGGAATTGGTGTTGAAATAGATGATAATAAAGCATTTACTCAATATCAAAAATCTGCAGAAATGGGAAATATTCATGGTATGGATCACCTTGCATATTGTTATAGATATGGATTTGGAGTAATGAGGGATATACAAAAAGCCAATCATTGGTTTGCAATGTAAATAAACTGTCATTTAATATAATTTTTTTAATAATTGTCAAATAATCTTCTAATAAATTTTACATAATCATTAATTAGGGTAAGAAATAAACCACAAGGTAATGATTTTATAAATTTAGTAAATATATAAATATAAATTAAGTACAATGCTTAACATTAAACTTTAAAATTGCTAATTTTAATGAGCATATAATCAAAAAAATTATAATATTTAAATTTTTGATATATGCAGATGGCTTATGCTGTTAATCATTGCAATAATCTGCCAAGAAACAAAAATCACCAAATTACTTGGTTATCTAAATTTTTATAATAATGAGACTTTTTAGATTTGCAAGAACATTACATTTTTCAAAAATTTAAATACTTAGACAGATTACTTAATTTCATATTAAATCTATACCTTTTGATTTAAAAAGCTAATGATTAACAATTTATATTTATAACTCAGATCTTGATTTTATATACGAGCCTAAAACAATTCACAATAATGTTGCTAATTGTTTAAAAGATGAGAGCAGATTATTCTGGATTCCTTTTGAAGAATTTAGCAATATTAAGCTAATAGGTAAAGGTGGATTTGCAACTGTATTTTATGCTGAATGGCATCAAAGAAATTCTACATTTAAGCAATATGTTGCGCTTAAATTAATTCACGGCTCAAAAAATTATGCTAAAGAATTTATAAACGAGGTAATTATTATTTATGTTTTTAATAATTTATATATAAATATATTATTAAAATTTTTTATTATAAAGGTTAAGACATGTTACAAAATTGAGAATAAATATCCTTCTTTGTTAAAATTATTCGGTACATCAAGAGATAATATTTCTGAAGATTATATTATCGTTATGCGATTTGCGCAACGTGGTTCTTTGTAAGAAAATTTTCATAAAGTAGCATTAATGGAATGGGAAAATAAATTAAATCTGCTACATTGTATTGCTACGGATCTTGAGGCAATTCATTCTGAAAACTTCATTCACAGAGATTTACATAGTAAAAATATACTATTACATACCCCACAAGGTGGATATATTACAGATCTAGGGCTTTCAATACAATCAACATTAGCTAATAGAATATTAAAAGAGGAAGTATATGGTGTAATACCTTATATAGCTCCTGAGATATTTAATACCCATAATTATACTCAAAAGGTTGATATATATAGCTTCGGAGTTATAATGGCTGAGATTTCAATTGGAAGACCTTCTTTCCATAATCGAAAACATGATGCTAAACTAATAATTGATATATGCAATGGTGCCCGTCCCGAATTTGCAAAAAATGCTCCTCAAATATATATTGATCTTGCAAATCAATGTATGAATGCATGTCCAATGAAGCGCCCTTCAGCAAAAGAACTTTGTGAAACTTTAGACTTTTGGATAAAAGATAATGAAGCAGTAAAAATATTTGAAGAATCTGATAAAATTATATTTAAAGCATTCTTAAGCAAAACGATAGATAAATTTACACAAAATGCTCAAGTGAATATAAGTCAGTTAATCGATGGCTTACTTCTTCCAACACCTGTTAACTCGAATAAAAATTCAGAATTATATTCAAGCAAATTTAAACTAAATACAAGTGCCAATACTGATACTCGCATATCTAATTTTGGTAAGCATTATAAAAATTTTTAATTAGCATATTTATGCAAGATATTTGTAACTATAAATTAAATTATATTTATTATTAGACTCAGCTAAACTTTATCAGCAAGAATTGGCATCCTCTCTTTCTAATTTTAATATTTTGGAAAGTCATGAAATTTCCAAAAATAATATTACTAACTATAGTATGTGAAAAAACTGCTAACAAAAAATTTATAACTTAATATAATAATATTTATTAATATGAACTTTTATAATAGATATTTATAATGAAAATAAGAAACGAAAGTATGATAAGAAAACTGATAACCAAGGTATTTTAATAAATATTGCTTGTTTACTTACTAAAAATTAATTGTTAAAAATATAATGATATTAATGTGAAATTTTATAATAGATATTTATAATGAAAATAAAAAACGAAAGCATGATAAGAACACTGATAACCAAGGTGTAGTTATTGTAGCATTTAACAAATATTGCTTATTTACTTACTAAAAATTATTTGTTAAAATTTTAGATTATTATAGCAAGTTAGAAACAGAGTTTGATATTAATAAATATAATATATAAATATAATAATATATATTTTTATTTAAATTTATTATTGGTATATCTGTTGTACGTTGCTCTTAAATAACCATTAATTCAAAATTAACGTACCTGAGTTTAAAATTTATACCGTAACATACGTAGTTTTAAAAATTATACTGATTAATATGTAGCGTACGTCAAGCTTAATATAAGAGTTTAATAAATTAGATTGATTATAAAAAAAAAACATTCTTTGTTATTTTATCTTCCTTTGCTATTTTTTCGTTTCTTTCATTTCAAAGCTTTCAAAAAATCATTGATGATTACATGAAAAGTAGAAAAAACGAAAGACATATAATAAATCAAGTATGATCGTTGCCTGGCTATTTTACGAAATCCGTCAAGTAAACATGAGAATTCAAACTTTAAATATTGGGTTCTTAATATCTTTAAATTAATTAAACTTGGAAGTATCGATGGACTGAATGTTAAATCTGGTAAACATAATCATGGTAGCAAATCGACATGTTACTCAGAACCGTCAAATGATTTATAACCTTAATGGAAAAACGATATAAAACTAAAAAAACGTGTGCTAAATTTGAAACCTGGTGATCTCGTAAAGATTCGGATTCCTGGGATTTTGGATACATGGTTTCAGCAGAGTTTAGCAAATACAACTGATTTAAAAATAATTGAAATGAAATTTAGGCAACTTGCATCTATGCTTGCTATTCCGTTTGTATTTGGATTAGAGTTAACACCTCTATCTGAATTTATATATCTGGATATATACTATGTTATATAATATAACATGATATAATATTTTTATATCCGGATATAAATAAATTCAGATTTAAATTTATATTCAGATTTATACTATGATAAAACTGGATTAATCCAGATATAAAAAATATATCCAGATAGAGATATTAACTCTAATCTGGATCTGGGTATTATTGGAAAATTAGAAAAATATATTTAAATAGCAAAAATAAAAAATTTTTTGGCTTGGCCATGGCAAATCTTGGTTGTACAATGTAAGATAATCAAGCCTGGAAAAGACCAGATGACCAACTACCCAAAAGACAAAGTGAATCCTGATCTTCTATTGAAAGATATGAGTGTGCAGGAAGTATTAAAATAATTATTAATATGGAAGAACAATTTGCTACTATCCAGAGAAGTCATCAAGTAGCATATGAAAACCAAATTATCACCAGGTTGAGTTTCCTGCAGAGACAAAAGAATAGATTAAAAATAATTTCTTACTATATAATTTAAGAAATACAGAAGTTTATAACTATCTCTATTATAATAAATAAGTAGCTGCATGACATTGTTGTGCTAAACCAGGAACGGATGACAACTCCAATATAGAATAGTTATATAAGTAATAGTTTTGAATTCAGATAAATAAAATATTGGGTATAAAACTAAATACAGCAGAACTATATTGATATGAGACACTATAATTTAAACAAACAAAATTTTATAATTTTTAGATATATAGTATAGAGTGTAAAATACCTCTTTAAAAAACATATTATAACAATTTACTACAATTTTTCAATGCTAACCTTAATAATACATAATGCCGAAACAGATATTAAAAATAGGAGTGGGGTATTTCACACCCTATACCGTACGGATCCATTCATAGTAATAAATAATCTTGGCAGATGATAATTATTTAGACTAACACAAGTTGAACCAATAAATATTGAGTGCATACCGGGAGCAAGTTTCCTAAAATATACTACCATTGATCTGCCAAATACCTACAGCATATTGGCATCATATTAGTAAGATATTAGAAGATAGATCGATATCAGTAACATAACAGCACAATATTGGGATACCTAGATATCTTACTCTTAGCACTCTGGGCCTAAAAGTAAGATCAGGATATCCCAATATTTTGCTGTTATGTTGCTGATATCAATCTACCTTCTGATATCTTACCAAAATGCTACTAATATTCAGCAAGTATTTGACAGATCTATGCAGACTATCAGGTACATATCAGGAACGGTATTGCACCTGATATTCATTGATTCAATCTGTATAATATGAATAAGAAATGTGAACAGCTCATATTAAATACTTAGATCAATTAGACCAATGAACAATCACTAAACTTAGACTAAAAGTACTCAATGTGATTAGATAGCTATTGATATCATTTATAGTACTACGATTAATTAAAATGATCCCATTTATAACAAAAAAAAATGCTTCAAACTTAATTTTTTTATTGTGATAATGAACCTACTTACCAGTTAAACTGCTTTCCAACAATTAAAAATTGAGTTCCGATCTATAATTTATGTGCTTGAGAGTACCTTAAATCATATGAATAAAAATTAAAATAAGAAATTAATTAATACGTACATTGATTGATGATGTTCGATTGATTAAATAAAAATAATACTTAATTAAATATCATGTGAAACCTGACATTATATGACAAAATTTTGTAGACCGATTTCAACTCATTAAAGATTTTAGAGCCATTAATGCTTGTATAGCTTCTTTAAATACTATATTGCTTTAAAATTATTATTACTGTACTGTAGCAACGTAATAATATTAATGTAAAGCTTATCGATATCATTTACCACAACTTGAGCTATGCTCTAGCCATATCACAAGTCATGGCTTCAATAATTATGATCTAATCTGGAACTATGACTTTAAAAAATGATTTAGTTGTAGCTGATGCTTAGTCATAGCTTAAGTTGCAGCTCATCAGTTTGGCAGCCAAAACTGGATAAATTAAAGTTACGTTATTAATCAAGGTTGGATTATTAATTATTTTTTTTACAATAAACAAAGAAATGGTTGTAACGAAGAAAGAGTCATGTGAACTGATTTCACCCATTACAGCTTAGATTCAAGACTTTTGCGCCAAAAATCTACATTTGGCTAGTGAATTTTGAAAGACAATAATAAAAACAAGCACATTTTTATAAATAATCGTCATGCATTTTAATCAAGACAAAAAACCTGTTAAAGGTCGCTCTTATAGTAAACAAATCTCATACAAGATATAAATATAGTAGTATGTAATAAATTTTTTGATGTTTAAGCACAAATATTCCCTTTTTTACTGCATTTAGCACATTGCCCAATCAGATATAAGATTTTGCGGAGCACATCACTAAAAATAACACAGTAGACTATATACTTCGTGATATTGCATATCACTACATTTCTAGTACTTATAAACCCAGAGATTTATATAGCCAAGTAAGTATATTATTGGGTATCAGAGTATAGTAAAAAAACTTATATAATGAATCAAGATAATCAGCTTTTATCTGCAATGCAGTATCTTGAACAGCCTGAGCTTAAAGAAAAAGGATTTAAAGTTCTTAATTACCTAGAGAATAATTTTGTTTGAGCCTTGGGTTTTTAACTCCGTTACTTAAACATATTGGAGCTGAAAATGCAACTAAAATTGTTATAGACTCCACATTTAAGACAAACCAAGAATGATTCGAACTCTTTGCTATAAATTTAAACTGTGGGAATACAGAATGCCAATAGCATACATGTATCTTTCCATATTAGATAGTAGCAAAGAAGTTCAAAATAGTCAAAAGAATCTTATAAAACATGAGTTGAAGTATTGCAAATATTTTTTACTAGCTTTCAGCAAGAGAGGTTGCAACTAGTGTTTGTTTTAACAGAAAAAGATGCAGGTGAGATAGCTTCAGTCGAAGAAGCTTGGTTATTAATCCCTAATATTCAACTTTGTTATTGGCATCTTAAGCATGCTATTGATAGAAAAATTAAAGATAAAAAGCATAAATCAAGCACATATTCAGCAGCTAAAGCATTAGAAGCTTACTATAAAATTTGAGTTTATTAATTCCTCATGGGTTCAGGATAGAGTCAGGTCTATTTGTCCAGATAAATATGTTAAACAAATTTTAGAAATAGTTAAAAAACATGCCAATATGCATTCACTTATTCCATTAGCTAAAGAAACTTATATAAATTTGAGAGAAATTACAAATTATGTGTTCAAGAAACATATCAGTTTTGTTATTTAAATAATCTAGTTAAACTATGAAGTTATCTATGAATGAACTGGTATAATAAAAAAGTTTGAAAATTATTTGCTCGATTTTCATGCTCACTTGCCAAGCCTTTTATCATATTACAATAATTACAGAAAGCTATTGAAGAGTCCTCAAATATAAATACAAGTATAATTACAATCATCCACACATAGATCAGCTTACTCAAATTATAACAGAGCAGCAAATTCCAGATTCTGAAATTAAACTGGTTTAGCATAACAAAAATTGAACTTTTCTATTCTGGTGGCATGATTTTAAAAAGGAATAAGATAAAGTAGCAGATTTTTTTTAATACAAAAAATAGATACGAAATCAATACAAATAAGTGGGTAGTGCCTGGATCTGGATATTTAACCGGATATCCAAATAAATATCCTGTTTTAATTATCTTAATCCGAATTTGTAAATGGATATTATTAAAATATCTGGTTATAACATATCATCATGGATTTATAAATTACAGTAACAAGTAAGCTAAAATTCAGTTATCTAATTCTTGGTAAAATATAATCGATTAAAATTAGATAATACTCTGAATTAGAATTTACATAATTCAAAAGCAAGTTATCCAGGTTCTAGAATTTCCAAGCAGCCTATTAATTATAAAATTAGTTTAGAATTAGTATATTGATTAATTATATATTCTTAAGCCAAGTAATCTACTTAAGAAATCCAAAATTAGATAACTCTATTCTGAATCATAGCAGCTAGAATTCTGAATCGGGCAGATTTAATTCTGAGGTAAAGCACATACTTAAACTACAAAATGTGAACTTCAAATAATTTGGTTATATATATATATCTTAAATAAAGCTGCAATAGAAACTATAGCAAAAGCTTTACAGCTTTACTATAACTACAACATTAATTCGTTTAATTATTATATGCAAAATAATATATAAAATTATTTAAAAAGAGAAACAAGGATTATGATCAAAGTCATGTTGAAGTTCTCTGATTGGTTGATATCGACTGACATAATATCCGGATAAAAAATCAGATTTATAAATCTAAAATAAAAATCTAGATTTATTATCTGCTTTTCAAAAATAATATCTGTTATCCTTTTTATATCTGGATGCATCTGGATTTTGTAAACCAGATCCAAGCACTATAAGTGGGTATGTTTCTGCTCAGCTTATTTACACAGCTGCTATCATCTTTGCAAATATCTTATTAATAAAAAGAATAGAAAACAGTTACTACATACATTTTTAAAAACAAAAGGATAACATAACTATCTGTTGATCTTCTTTGGTAAAGAAAAAATCCTACCTATTGCTCCAGTAAATATTCTATAGATTCGACTTGGAGTATTAGAGGTAGTAGAAACATCAAATGATTCTGTTATACAAGCTAGTTCTTGTTTAAATAGCTTATGAGATCTGCTTGAAAATACAACTTTTGATGTAATAGAAAAAAGAAGAGAAAAATATAAATTTTATAAAAAAAATTTGATATTGCATTAGCCTTATATAATTAAGAGATAAATAATTATAATTTTATAAATAATTATAATACTTTAGTGGCACTATTTTTAAATAAAATAAGTAAATATGAAGAAGTGTTACGGGCTTACCACCAACAAGATACTTGGTGATCAAGTAGAAAGCTTGCATTTTGGCTATATTAATTAAATATTAGCAAGTACTATTTATATATTATTTTAGTTAAATTCCTAGATAAAAAAAGAAAAAAAAAACTATATATATATATATTATTTATTATGTATTGTATTCTAAATATTATTAATTAACAATAAAGAGTAAATTTTTAAATTTGAGATTATCTATTATTTATGGAAATTTTGGTGCAGCTTGCATTTTGAGATTTTTATTTGGCAAAGATATCCCAACAGTCACCCTACCAAATTCAATAAAAATTTTTATTTGAATTTAATAAATTTTTAAAATTCAAATAAAAAAAAAATCATTAAATTTGGCCAGGTGATTATTGATATATCTTTGCTTAAAATTTTTAAAGAATTTGGTGCAACTTATATTTTAAGACAGTTTAATTTTTCTACAACCTTGGGTGAAGATATTTCAACAACCACCTAACCAAACTCAATGAATTTTTTTTTATTTGAATTCTACATATTCTATAAAATTCAAATAAAAAAAAATTCATTGAGTTAGATCAAGTGGCTGTCAAGATAACTTTGCTCAAAAGTTTAAAAAATTTGGCACAGCTTACAGTATATTTTAAGATAGTTTAATTTCTTTGCAACTTTGGGTGAAGATATCTTGACAACTACCTGACAAATTTAATGAATTTTTTTTATTTGAATTCTACATATTCTATAGAATTCAAATAAAAAAAATTTATTGAATTTGGTCAGGTGGCTATCAAGATAACTTCTCTCAAATTTTTTAAAAATCTGGGATTTTGAGAAGGTTTGATTTTTCTACAACTTTGGGTAAAGGTATCTTGACAACCACCTGACAAAATTCAATAAAATTTTTTATTTGGATTCTAAAACTGTATAATTCAAATAAAAAACAATAATAATAATAAATTTGCTCAGATGATTATTGAGATATCTTTGCTCAAATTTTTTAAAAAATTTAAAATTTGGCACTTGTATTTGAAATTTTAATTTTTTTACAACTTTTGAGTAAAGATATCTTGACAACCAACTGACCAAATTCAGTGAATTTTTTTTATTTGAATTCTATAGGTTTGCAGAATTAAAAAAAAAATCAATAAGTTTAGTTAGTTGGTTGTGAAGATATCTTCACTCAAATTTTTAAAAAATTTTATTTATAAGAAAGAATTATCAATATGGCATCTAATAGAAATCCATAAAAATTGATCTATAGTATGTGATTTGAGAATTTTTTCACTATAACTAGAGTACTAAGATCCGTATAGTATACATAATTTTAAAAATTGGCCTTTACTGAGTACTACCTAAAGAAGTATAGTGTGATGCAGAAAAAAACGTACGCTTTAAAAATCCCTATCTATAGGGTAAACCATGAAGGTTTGTATAACATTCAATAACAATACCTTGAAAGAAGACGTAGATTTGGCGAGTCAAGTGTATACTTTATTAGAGTATGTGCAAGATGTCTTTACATATTAATAAATGCTATGCTTATATATTATTTACGAATCTACTAAATCTAATGAATTTAACAATTCTACTAAATCTGCTATATCTAATATATCTACTATGTCTACTATATCTAATGAATCTACTATATCTAACAAATCTACTACTATTACCTGATTAATTATATGCAATCTCTAAATAATTATGCAATTGATTCACTAATTTGCGCCTAATGCATCATTGATCTATTTCTAATCATTATATTTTCTCCACTTAGTTTGTTCATTCCATGAACTAAAATAAGCTTCAGAAGTCTTCTGCCTTCATCGTTACCATATTAGCTAAAATCAACTTTTGTGTTCGGTTTACTTGTTCAATTCCATATGCTTCGAATAGCCAATATGTTCTGGTTTGACTATGTAATAGTGCTTCGTGATTCCTTTTCATCATTCAGTTTGCTGTTCTGGGCTTGCTTCATCTATAAGTTTCCCCAAATAGAAACTATAGACTAAGCTTCCAATCCTGTTTTTGAATTTTAAGTTTCTTAGCATGTGCCAGTAGGTTATGTCAACCCTTTCATTCAAATTTTGTCTTTTGTCATAGGGCGGGGGCATGATCAGAATCTTACGTAGGTTTGTTGCTAATAGGTCACTGATAATTTCGTCTATTGTATGCGTCATCTTCATTGTTGAATTTTTTTTTTTTTTTTTGATATAAGAAAAAATTTGGCTCAATTTCCCTTTTTGTTATTTTTTTCTTATTCTCTCCCCTCCTTATTATATATCTCCTCCATCTCTTCTAGACACCTTTGTTTATTTCTTCAATATCCTCCAGGATCAAATACTAAAACATTCGATTCGTATAACAATAAATATTGCGATTCTTTAATAGTTTTGCTGCACCTTTTGGAATGTTTACTTATTCATTCTAACCACAATACTTTTTCTTTGTTTTCCAATTTTATTTCATACATAGAGGTTCTTTTAGTAATTTCAATAATATTGTTTTCATGTTTTTTGAGTAATTTCAGCATTTCTTATCCATGGTCAAATACAATATTCTGTTCTTTTACACACTTCTTCCTCTTCTTATTTATTATCTGGCATTCAATGGTCTTGTTTCAGTAGGGTTCTGATGAAGCATTTAAAGGAGCTACGAGAAATATTGTTAAGACTATTGCACACTTAGGCTTTCTTTTTGTCAAGTCTTCTACTGCTTGCTTTGTCTTCTTGGTTAATCCTTTATCGTTCACTTTTGTAGCTTCGGGTTTACTTTTTTTGCTTATTTCGAAACGGCTTTTGAATTTTTTATTTTCTCCTTCCAAGAATTACATGCTACTTTCAGGAATTCGTTGGTTATGTTGATTATCTGTGTTTTAACTTCACTTTCTTTCAATGCGTTCTTCACTTTACTAACGAATATTTTTGCCTTTTCTCTGATTCTAGTATTTCTTTCTTCCTCAATCATCGTGCAATCTTTATCATTATCGTTAGTTTTATCTTTATCTTCAACCATTGTCTTATCATCCTTAGCTTCACTAGTACTCAATTTAACACTATTATCGTTTTCATAAGCTTCGTTGCTGCTTGTGTCTTTATCAGCTTCACCATGGTTCCCGGAACTTTCAAAATAATCCAGGTAGATTTTAAATTCAACCTTTTCTACATCGTTTTTGCTTCTGTAATAACTGACATAAGATATGTTCTCAAAATCACTCATTTTAGCAGTTTTTTGATAATAATTGAGTGTTTTCTATTTATTCTTTTTGATTTTACTTCTATCTTCATAACAGTGATCAATGCTATATGTTCCATCAACATACTCCATCTTCAAGGCTTTTTGATAATATGTAAATGATTTATGTTCATCATTTTCGAATCTGATTTCAGTCTAATCATAGTGTACGAGGTAGTGTGTTTTATCAGCATTGTTCATATCTGCTGATTTTTGATGGTAAGTGAATGCTTTATATTCATCCACTTTGGTTCCACTCCCATTTTGATAATGATCGGGCACCTTATTTTCATCCATCTCTAATTCGATTCCGTTTTGATGAAAGTTGTTGGTTTCATTCTCTTTGTTATTGCAACCAAGCCAAGTAAGTCTCATGATCATTATTTCCCTCTATTTTATTTCTATTATTGTAGTAACATCTAATATCGTATACTTTACTTTCTTCTTTCACAGTTGTCATGTTGTTATCAACTTTACTACTACTAGGTTCACCATTATATTCTATCTTGTTTTCACCAACTTCGTTATTATTGGCATTCATTTCGGCATTATTATTGGGTTTACGATCTTCAGTACTATCCGGGTATATATTATTTTCATATCCTTTTTCTGTATTATTTTTAGTATCATAGTAATAACCGATTTTAAACATCCCTTTAGAATTATTCATCTTAGAAGATTGAAGATGACTGATGAAAGTGTTATATTTGTCTTTTTTAGCTCCAATACCATGTTAATAACCATATCCAAGGTTGTTTGTTGCATCATGAGCTTGTTTCATCTCAACTAATCACTGGTAATATTTGATTATTTTATTTTTATCTTTTTTGGTTCCAGTTCTATCTTGATTTATTTCGGCAGGTTGTTTAATAGTAGGGACTTTAGTTCTGACATTATCAGGGTATGTGTCTATGCCATTTGTCTTTTCATAGCTTTTGACCTCTGTTTTATCAAGCTTTGTTTTATAGTTTTGTTCTTCTTCTCATTATTTTCATCTGTCCTAGCCTCTCTTTTTCTAGCTGATTCTAAACCTTTTAGGCAATTGGGGTAAATTTTACAGCCGTTATTCTTATCTATTCCATATTAATTTTCGTAGTAATGTTTAGTATTATATGTTCTGTCAAATTTTCTTATTCCCACAGATTTGTAATGATAAATAAATGCTTTATGTTCAACTTTTTCAATTCTGATTCCCTTTTCGTAGTGCCAACTATGAGTATTCATGCTATCAGCATATTCTATTTCAGCAATCTTTTGATGGTTGATGGGTGTTTTATTTTCATCCTGTTTGAACATAATTCTGTTTTGATGATATAGTTGTAGGTCGTTTGATTCATTCTTGTCATCAAGTTTGCATTCAAAGGCTTTCAACCAAGCCAAGTAAGTATCATCTTTTCCTTCTAATTTTTTATCATCATTCTTTGGTCTTTCTTTCTTTTGAATAGGGTCTGGCAAGTCGTAATTGAAGATAAGGCCTTGCGCTGTCATCTCTAAACATGATAAGTATACTTCTTCAGTTTCGTGTTTTTCAACTTTATAACTCATATATCTATATTTTTTATCATGAGCTTTCAAATTACTGGAAGTAAAAGAATCTTTTTTTCAAGCAGGGTATGCAGTATTTTGTAACTAAAAGGTCATAAAGTCTTATTTTACTTGTGTATGGATGGCAAATGCTTCATTTAGCCATTTGAGACTTTTGTGCAATATTCCTAGCTTTGGTTTCTTTCTTTTTTTTTTTTTTGCTGTTGTAGGCCTTGACCCTACTTCTATAAGTTTGGTGGTGAAGGTGATTGTTTAGATCTGTAAATTTTTTACTAAAAGTGTAATTTCCGTTCTTGGTACTTTTGTTCGCTCAGTTTGAATAAGCATAAAAAAAAAAAAAATTATATTTTGCTACGTTTTTGTGCTTTTTAACCTATAAATTCTAAGATTTAGAGTTTTTAGTAATAAATGGTTTTGTGTTTTGTTGTGAAAATTGTGAGAGATACAAAGAATAAGAGTTCTATATTTTTTTAATTTATACTGAATTTTCTGGATTCAATTATTATGTTACTATGATGATATGTTTTATTTTTGAGGTCAATGGTTCTTCTAGTGAAAAAAATTGAAGCTTGTTTGTTAATCCTTATGCCAAAAGTCTGTCACTTTGATAATTTTTCTGATGTATGTGTTCTATTTGTTCAAGTCTGTTACTTTTTTCTGGGTTATGATATAAGTATCCTATTGTTCTATTTTCTTTATGACAGACTTTTCTTAATGCTTTGTTGTATAATCATCGATCCTTAAAGTTTATTTTGTCACTTCTAATTCTGGTTGTATATCAGAATCCCGACACCCAAAATCCCGACACCCAAAATCCCGACACCCAAAATCCCGACACCCAAAATCCCGGCAACAAAATACCGATACTCAAAATCCCGACAAATTAAAATCCCGACAATATTAAAATCCCGATACCAAAATCCCGACACTCAAAATCCCGAAATTACCAAAATCCCGACACTACCAAAATCCCGATAATACAAAATCCCAATATACAAAATCCCGATACTAACAAAATCTCGGCAGTATCAAAATCCCGAAACACAGAATCCCGACACTCAAAACCC